CATCAGGGTCTTTTCCAAAGAGTCCTCTCTTTGCATTAGGTGGCCAAAGTATCTGAGCTTGGGCTTCATTATAGTCATGCTTTACTGTTTAGTTATCATCCTATCTGGAGTGCTCTGCAGCACCATCCATGTTGGCTGTCATCTCCCTCTGCTTCATTTACTCCCTGGAGGAAAAAAGTATAAAGTCACCTTGTGTGAGATAGGCGGCTATATAAATACGATAGACAGACAGACAGATAGAGCAATATCTCTGATATATCCATCATTATAGTTTCCCTTTATTCAGATTAGAATCTTACTCTGAGAAAAAATTATTTGCCCAAGAGTTACTTATCAATTGTACTTGCCAATATTTTCTTTTGGACACATACACTGAAACACTTTAACAGTTGTTGAGAAGGAAGTTTATAATAGCAGTTGAGTAGGGTTAACCTTACCATTAGGCAGAGTGAAGTTACCATTTCAGGAATGTCTTTGGCATCATGAAAGGATGACACCTGATTGCTTATTTAACTAATAAGTGATGTTCTACTTGTATTGCAAGCCATGGAGAGAGATGCTTATGTGCTTTCTGCAAGCAAAACTGGTGTCATTGTATTAGAGAGTGAGGATTGGTACCCAGCAGTTCAAAGAGTGCTTAGTTAAGATGGGACTGGGGCAAAATTTTCAGTACAAACTTTAAGATCCATCCTTGTAACAGTTTAGTTGCTTCATTTTGCACCAATTTCTACTCCCAGATCTCTTTAAGGGTAGCCCCACATAGAATTGATGCAGTAATCAAGGCTTGGATAACTGTTGTCAAACATGCTCATCGCCACAGCCACCACCTGCAAATCCACTGACAGCTAAAGATCCAGTAGCTCCCAGTGGGTGAACCTGCTTTTTCAGGAGGAGGGCAATCCTTTTCCAGACAGGCTGCAGCTTCATCTCCAAGTGCAACTATCCAACTATATTATTTTAGCTTCTGATGCTGCTGTTTTTAAATAGCCAAGAACAATAACAATAGCTTGGTTATTTAAATTTTTTGGGGAGTTCTTAAACTGCATTCTCTACTTCCACTATTTTCAGTGGGAATCCTGCTGGTGTACAATGTTTCAGTACATACAGTGAAGTGCAGACCCAATTGAGGACAGGCTAAGTGTCTTATTGGTCAGGCCAAGAGCATCACTAGACACTAGAACTCATTTCACTAAAGCCATGAGTGCTGTCCACATTGTTAATGTGTTCATTGTGATTTCTGCTGAGATAATGACTTTGAGCAAGAGCCAATACTTGGAATATGGTTAGACTTGCCATGAAATGGCTCCCAGGGGTGAGGGGGTGGGAGGTAGGTGTTCCTGTATACAAGCTCTTTGGAGGCAGCAGGAGAAGGTGACTGAATAGGAGAAAAGAGATGTAGAGCACCTCTTCCAAGTTACTTTGGGTACCTTGGCTGACCTTTGACTCATCCTTCCAAATATCTGTTTGTTTGGTTTTTTTATATATATATTCCTCCTATTTCCTCTTGAGTTCTCGTTATATAGGGTGTTTACAGAATAGGTGCTAGGATTTCATATATTCACTGTTGGGCAATTTCTCACTTGATTAAAAGAATACTTTTTAAAAACTCACCACACAGAATGTTAACATATCAAGACAAAGCTTTCAAGCCATTTCTTTGACATCCTGGGAAAAAGTATTGTGTATACAGTAATATTCATATGAGTTTCCAGCTATAGTCTAAACTGGCTTAATGAGTTTAGGTTTATCATGACATTGAGAGTGAAGCCTTTGGTTGAGATATATAGTCTATCTTGTAAAGAGAAAGATCGTTTCTATGCCTCTGAATTTCATTTCTCCTGATATCATCTCTTTTTCTCTTTCCCTCTATCTCTTTTGGCAGATGAACCGGAAAGTCACAGAACTGCCTGAGAGGCGGTCCCAGCAGACACATACTGAACTCTCCAGCATCTTGATCATCCAAAATGTGAGCCAACAAGACCTGGGAAAATACACATGCAAGGCTAGCAGTGGGGAGCAGAACTTGAAGGAGAGCATAGATGTCATCGTGCATGGTAAAAACCATTAACTCAGGCTAAGAAAACCTTTTAGGTTCTTGTTAGCACAGTAGAAAACAGTGTGTTGGGACTATAATTCCCAGCAGGATAGTTAATCTCTGAAAAAGTATCTAATGCTCTGGCTAGATAAAAATGAAAAATGTGGCTCTGGGAATGAATTGAGGTAGTATGTCACTATATATGTTGTTCTCCATGTAAGATTAAATGAGATAACCCTACCATTAATACATCAGTACAGGACTGCTGTTTTGTTTTTTGTTTGTTTTGTTTTTAATAGCTGAGTAAAGGATACACTAACTGGTATCTAGTATATCTAGAAGTTGTTCA